GAGGGAGATCGAGACTGTACAGCATATGTTCTTCACCTGCCCATTGTATGAAGCAGTGTGAAAAGAGACTATTACCCCGTTAATAGATAGAATCTCAGGATGTTCAGAGGGAAATAGGCTTGAGTTCCTTCTCTCGGAATTTGATATGCAGATCACCTGTCAAGTTGTGAAATTCTGTGTAGCAATACTTCAATTGTGGAAGTTAAATACCAATTAGATAGTAGCTCCCAGCTGTATGTGTGCCAACATGTGAATATTGAAAGTTAGAAATTATAAAGTTTTATAAAGTTTTATATTTATGTGACTGGTCTAAGGACCGTAAATAAACTATTCATCTTCATTCATATTCACTCAGAGGATTGTTTAGTGTTTCTTCACAATCAGTTTACACGATCCCAAAGAAGACTAGTATATCCTACTCAACAAGAAACAATTTCAAGGTCAAGACATTGTATATTATAGTATACACAGTAACAATATTGTCTCACACAGAGAGAGATAAGAACATCTAAGGTAATGTTGAAGTCCTCTTCAAGCAATATTGAGATTTTAAGAACATCAGAGTAAAGTTTTCTCTTATTTAGAAACTTTTCAGGGTTCTATGTTGGGGATATTTTCACAAATGGTTCCATACATGAAAATGAATGCTTTTGTTTAGTAACAAAAGCCACAATACTATAACTTTCTTATGACAAAAAGGACATGTTAGAAAAGCCTTGAGAGACGCAGTAACCCACAGTACCGAAGGATAGGCAGGAAGAAAACAAACAAAATACAACTCCCCCCATCACCGTCCCCCTAATCGCCTTCATTAAATGAAATAAAGAAATCCTAAATCTACCATGACAGCAAGAGTGAGTGAAAATTCCATGGCAAAGGCAACAACCCCACTATTCAGCAGGAACCAAAGAGTCACAAAAGGTTTCACAATGAATGATGAAGACTACTGAACTTCAGCTGTAATCTGACAACACTACCAAAGTGCTCTTCAGGCAGTGTGAAAGTATGCCTTAATAAAATTTTGAATATCTAGGCATGGATAAAACATTAATTTCAGGAAGTTTTGTTTCCAAGTAAACCAGAAGCTCACAGCACTTATTTGACCAAACCAAAACAGAAACATCAGGATTTTCGACTTCAATACTTGCACCACGTCCGCCTTAGGATCCCTTAGTAAATAAGACATTACAAAAGGAATAAGTGCAATAGCGAGAAACTCTTCTTTTATTTATACACGGAGTTCCGTCCTTTAATGCTTTAACTTATCTTCTTCTCAGTTAAAATCTTCGAACACATTAACTGCACACCAATGAAGGAATATGGTACATTGCTGGGTAACCTCCTTTAAAAAGGGTTAATTATCATGTTTAATTACACAACACCATCAATCCAGATGTGCAATTATTAATAACTTCAAACATTTCTGCACAGAAAACACAGTTGAATATCATCTCCCCGCTCTTTTAGCTTTAAAAGTTAATGCCCTCATCAAACATTGAGACACAGATATCATCAACATGCCCTGAATGCCACTTACCCAGCTGTGTTTCCTGAATTGTCAGTTTACTCTCCAAAGGGTACAAAAGCTTTGGTGGTTTTTCTGTTAATGGCGCTGCAGAGAGGAGGGAAAAAGAACCATATTCATTCTGAATGCTGTTGAAAATAACCCTTCATTGTTTAGATGACAAATAGACTATACTAATAATATCAGTTGCATGGGGATTATTCTTAAAATTATATGGGAAGTCTACACAGAAGGTATCCCTCAGCTTCCTCTGTTTTCTACAGCATCTTCAAGTTTACCACAATTTCCACTGGTGCACACATATGTACTTACTATGTACGAATTCATCTCAGTTGCTTGACAGAACCAAATTTTTGTAAGATTCTTCTTTGTTTCTGTTCTGCATTTTTAATTGGATCCAAGGTTGGAATCAATTTAGATTTACATAGCTCCCACTTAAATACAAGGACTTCAAATTAATTCATAAATTCATAATTCATAAAGACTAATGAACAAATGTCTGGACTACTTATCCACCAATAAACTTCAATTAAACTACCAGAAATCGAAAATTTTAGTCTTTTCTAAATCCCGTAAAATATATAAATGGACCTTCAAACGACATCCAATAGAACAGGTGAGGACCTTTAAATATTTGGGTCTGTTATTTTCAGCCGACAGCTCCTGGACTGGCCATCGCTATATGGCACAAACGACAGCCAAAATATCCTCAATGGCAATTTCCAGATTCTTCTACAATAAAGGGGGCCGCCTAATCCCGGCAGCCCTCAAAATATTCAATTCTAAATCTATTTCTCAAGCCCTATATGGTATTCCCGTTTGGATCAATGCTTACCATAAATCACTAGAAAGCTTCCAATCAACTTTTCTGAGAAGAATCTTGGCTATGCCAAACTGCGTCCCCTACGAGGCTTTATGCCTCGAAACGGGACAACTCCCACTCAAGGATGTTGCCTGGTATAGAACCTGCAAATACTGGCTAAGAATGTATTTTGACACCTCTCAAACAAGCCTACTTTACCATCTAAAAAAAGATAGCTGCCCCCCAGTAGATGGTTGGCTTAGGAAGATCAAACAGATCGGGCTAGACCCGGACACCCTTGGGTTTCTTCCGTTCCAGTCTGCCCTACGAACTGTCAAACAAAGGTTGGCTGACATTAACTCACAAGACTTATTAAGAGCCGCTAACAGATCTTGTTCACCTCTGTTCTGGAATCTCCCCTTGGTAGTAGGTAGGCCACCGATTTACATCTCCATACTGCACAACCCCGAAATCAGAAGGGCGATTTCTTTGGCCCGCTGTAATTCAATCCCTTCGGCGGTGCTAACGGGCCATTGCCCATTCCACTCGGCCACGAGGGATAAATTTTTTGCCTCTCTACCACAACGAAAGCCCTGGCTCACCGATAAAGCCTATCTTAGTTCTATTCTACAGCGGACAGATGAGAATTCTCTGAATGCTTTTGGTAAATTTCTGTTGGACATAATCAAAACTAACTCAGCTCGTGAATCCAACCTGAAGTCTTAGTCTTTTAGGAGTCGTTTCCACAAGCTGCTTTTTGCACTTTTGTATGTTTGAATGTGTGTATTATGCCAATAAAGGTATTTAATTAATTAATTAATTAATTCATAAATAATTGCAAAGTTCAATTGTCACTGTCACTTGTTATGTCTATTTTCTTGGTTTCTTCATAATGAATTAAATCATTCTGACTCTAATTAGCCCAGCTTTTTTTAGCTAGTCACATACTGCATCCACAAACCAGCTTAATATAATTGATTATTTTTGTTGATTTTGAATAACATGAATATTTGTGAAATTTCTTCTTCTTTCTAATTTCTGATGTGCACACAACATAAGAAGGACAAAATATAACAGTTGGTTATATTCAGTGTTGAAATATGGATAAATATTCAAATTAGAGCAAACATTTATTTATGCAACTTATAGGCAGGTTCATATATAAAACAATTAAAATTATTTTCAGCTGCATGCACGAAGATCTTTTGTTATTTTTATCCTTGAACAGTCATCCATATGAGAAGCACTCTAACAGGACTAGGAAGTGGTCTGTCTTTTAATTTGAAGTAACATTTTTTAAATAAGATCTTTGCTATATTCAATTTTTCCAATTGCTTCTTACCAAGCCTGCTTAAAATGAAATAAATTTGGGTGAAGTATGAGAGAAGCTTTTTTTTTCTAGGTGTTAATTGCTTTGCTTCATTATTATCTTCTCCCTCTTTGCCCTAATTGAGTTCCCTACAACTTAGTATGCTCATTTCAATCCCATGCACATACACACAAGAACAGAATGCTGTCTTTAAATATTCAGAGTTTTGCTATCACAACACATGCCACTTTTTCTTTGACTCATTAAAAGGGCAGAAAGTAAGAGAGCAAGCAATAAGCAACAACCGCTCAACCCACTACCTGGAAGGCTACTTTTCAAAACCACAATTAAAAAACTGGGCTGGTTATTTCCAAGAAAAAAAAGAGAGAGAGGTGGATGGAAGAGAACTCAGGTGATTGTCTTACAACTGCTTCAAAGAGAATTCCAAGCACAAAATGATAAAGGAATAGTAGTTTCCAATAGAACAGTTGTTAACAAGTCTGGTAGACAGGAATCTGCATGTTTCACTTTCACATACGCTCATTTTTGCCTACGCTAGGCTTTTTTGAATTTCAAGGTCTTTCTACCCTGTCGATTACTAACTTTGTCAATTTTGGTGAATTCTTATCTAAATAAAAATTCTCAAATTTTCCACAGATCATATTCAATCAATACATGTGTTATGTTGATTATGACTTATGTCATAAGTTGATTATGACTTATGGAGCCCTTACTAAGGGTTTCATGGTACAGGAGATACTAAGGAGTTGCTTCCCACATCAGCTTCCACGGCCAAGTGGGAATTTGAACACAGGTTTCATGAGTCCTAGTCTGGCAGTTTGTTCACTGCACTGCACTGGCTCACCATTCAGTGGAGACAACTATCTTGGGATGAACATATCCATGCTGTATGTATCTGCCATATATCTGTAAAAGATGAGGACCATATAAGAGAAAAGTGGTGGCAATCCTAATTCAGCTGAATACATGAGTATCCAAAGTCACACTTTTAAGAGTTAACATCCTCTGCTTAGATAGGTGAATCTATCTTTTGTCTCTCTCACACACTCAGGTTTTTGTAAAACTCTCAAGTTCTTTCTGTCCAGTTAGAATGAAAACTAAACTAAACTAAACCAAACTAAACTTAAAAAAATTCACAGTTCCTACTAAGGAATGCTAGCATCGATCAGTGGTGCCAGAGCTTCATGAATGGAGCATTCCTCTCCACCCCTGGCATCCTCCAGGCTCAGGGCTGGTTGTGAACTTATCTTGGCTATGTTGATTAGGATTATGGCTCAGCAGCAGAAAAAAAATCTGCATATTGAAGGGGAAAAGGAGTTTTCTCATTATTGATTAAAATTAGAGGTGAGACAGGATATATTCGGTGACTGCAACTCTTTCTTTCTTAGTTTTGTGGCCAAAAGGACAACACGGCTTCTCATTAACATCCTCTTAAATTTTGTCTGAGGGAATGGGAAGGTAGATGGCTTTGATGGAAATGACAGTACTACATTGATGTTATTTTTCTCTCTTAAATATTTTGCATTAATTTAACTACTACCTTTTCTTTCTTCACAACTGCTTCCAAAAGACTCCTTATCAACTCAGAGTAATCTTTCAGAAAGTATCCACTATACTATTTAAATGTAGATTTGCCTTTTATTGTGAAGCTCAGCTCAATTATTCCTTATCAGATAGTATTTCCTCAGCCACTGTTCTTCTAAATCTCTTAACTCCCTTCAAAGCAGACAAAGTTCTGTTCTGGTCTCTAAGGTATAGCAACGGCTAGAATAATCCTAGTACAAAGGACATGCAGGATAGGGAACAACCAATTCCATTTATTTAACAAACAGATACATCACTTACCTGAGGCCTTGGACCTCAGGTGGCAGCTTTCTGTGTGAAAAATAATAGCCTTTAAAACTGCACAGGGATTAGGGAGGTTATAGTCTCACAACACTCTTTTGGTGTATGTGGTGAAACTTATCTGTAGCATCAGTCTGCTCTACAGCATCCCTTTCATTGTAAAATACACCATAATATGAATTGTTGCTTGAGACCATCACTATGAAAATGCAGAATAAAGGGCAGCGCCCATAGTTAAATATCCATCAGTGTGATTTAAAACTCATCTTGTTTTTTCTTATGGTATGCCTTTATTGAGCTGACACCTTTTCCCCCGGTTTCAGTGCATATCTCCATACCAAAATTTAGTATTAACTGGTCCCTTCTCTTTCATAATCTGCAGTCCTCTACAGACATACATGTGAGCAAAATTCCACTGAATAGTCTGGAATCTGGATCTTACTTTTGAATGAACACTAGGTTCCCCCTGCCTGCAGGCCATAATTAGCCTGCCAGGATCTCCCATCCACTGTGTTTCCAGGCCCTGCCCCTCTGAAAATATGGGGAAACATGCTGTGGTTTTGGACATGTACATCTACATGGAGTTTGTGCATGTATTCAGGAGGTAAAGGAATCTCACTGAATTATTTGCTCTTGACAAGACAGAGTATCCAGACATGCAGAGACAGTCTGCTGAGAGCTCGCAGATCTCTGCAAGATTTCTTATTTCTAATATGAGAATGAAATGAGCTGACTATTTTTATTGAGATTTTTGCAACTTGTGCAAAATCTCTTTCTGGAAAACTATTGTCTTCTTACTATGAAAAGCAATTCCTCTTTTGACTGTAACTGAAGATCAACTATAAGTAAATAGGTTATTCTTTTCTACTTAAGCTACTTGCACAGTGATTTTTTTCTTTTTTATACAAAGGGCTAGTGTGAACAAAAGGACTGGGTGCATGCTAGGATATCTATCTATCTATCTATCTCCCTCCCTCCCTCCCTCCCTCCCTCCCTCTAGCTAGCTAGCTAGCTAGCTATTCTCTCCTAAGTTTCCTCAGCGCTGCAGCAGTTGCTTTTGTATTTTTAGGCTCTGCTAATTATAAAAAAATACTAAATGTGCACAACAAA